TGATATACTCCACACACACACACACACACATATGTATATGTATTTGTTTGTCGATATAACTCCAAATAAAATGATTAATATAAACAATAGAAAATTAAAATATATGCTCTACAAAAATTATTTTTTTAAAGAGGAAAACTCTCAGGTAAATATAAAAATTATTTTTTCAAAATATATGTTTTATTATTCTTGCAAAAACTTACAAAATTCAAAACTCTCTAAGCTGGCAAAGACCAAACGCAACTTAAAATGGTTACTCCAAAGTGCTCAATATTTTTTCTCACAGCACACTCTATACAGACAGCACTTATTTTTTAAGATGTTTTCTTATTCTGAAATTTAATGTAAATTTTTCTTCTCTCTTCCCCTTTTACAACCAACCCTTTCTCATTTCCACCCTACCTCTATTAAAAATGTCTATATGCAGACATAAGAAGATGTGGACTGGTAAGAGAATATTAGAATTACTACATGAAGTTTTCTAACCCAGAATTTTAAATAATACAGTTGTGCATAAGATTTTGAGAACTGCTAGTGATCTATTTTTTGCTTTACACAGTCTAGCCTTTTAAACTAGGAAATGTACATTTTTTACAATATTTAAATTTAAACAAAAGCAAATTATCAGGACTCAAAATAACTGAAGATTTAAAGAAAGGTTGTCCTGGTAACCAAATATTGGTGGGGTACTAACTGACATCCAAGGCAACTAGAGAGGGAGAGAAAAAAGTGAAGGCTTGGCATTCTCTGATCATCTCATTATTGTTCTAATGAGGAACTTTGCTCTGGGAATATCATCTCAGCTACTTTCACATCTTTTGTCCTACTCCCTTCATCTCCCTTTCAGTTCTTAATTAGGCCTTAAAGAGCTCACACTGCCCTTTCAACTGGCTACTGCTCCTGTTTAAACACTGTGCTTTCACAGACAGGTGTTGGCACTAGCATATAAGACATACAAACTTAATTACAAAATACTACGTCCAGAGGGAGAAAAAATAACTTGGTGGACGGCTATTATTGGAGAACTTAATGTAAATTACTTCAAACATCTTATAATCTTCAACATAAAAATTGTTCGAATGCTTTTCTTCAACCATGATCAGTATGAAGATGCGCTTCCTCCTCTTAATTGTATCTTGCAGTAAATTAACAACACCTAGTAATCCTTTAACTGTCATTTAGAATAGTTAGTATTCCAGAGAAAAATAATCACACATCAAGGATTCTTTTATCACCTTTAAATCCTTTAACTAAAACAATTTTCACATTTTATTTCTTTAAAGAATTCTAAGGATGCTTTTACAGCAATAAATTACAAGATTTGGAAAAGTACATTTACAAGCAATCGAAATTGTAATTAAGGTTACTTAATAAACAATAGCTACACATTAAATCGATTTTTTTGATGTTGCATTTTGTTTGAGATTAAGTAACCGCCTGATAGAATTCATTTTACTATCTGATCAAAGACTGACTTCATATTTTCTCACATTTCTCGCCAGACTGCCATATTATAAAGACTTGAGAATTTATAAAACATCAAAACTTATGAATCACTTAAATAAAACAGCAAAAATACAGTACAAAGTCCTGTGCTTCTATAACAATTTCCACAATTTTAAAGATAAACACCTGCATTTAGAATGGTTTAGAAAATAAACCCTAAACCCACCTTAGCTTCTTCTAGCCATGTCACATCCTAAAAAATAGTAATAGGTGATATGGGATTGCCTAAAAAAATTCTTACTATACATCTGGATCACACATATCAAGGACAGATGGTTGAAACAGCAACCACCAGTCTCTTGGAATAAAGGCTCTATTTCTGTTACTCAGTGAGAATTTAGTTTTCTACCAAGAACATTTGACCATATTTTGGTAAAGTAATTTATTCTCTACGTTTAATATAGTTAGAATTGATTGCAGATGCAATGGAACTCTGAACAGAGATTAAATACTGGACTTCAAATACTACAATAAAGTTCAGATTATCTGAATAATCCTCGCAAAATACGTGAGTTGATTTAGGTGGTCGCTACCAATCCTGTTAACAGATTTGGTTTTGTTCTGATGAGAAAGATAAGTGTCCTAAAGTATTTGTTCTTTCAAATACTTTCCTGGTTATCTGGCTATCCTGCCAGGATGCTTTTCTATTGTTGAATGTTAACAAGCAGCTTTATTCTTTCTTCAATCCTTGTCCCAACAACAACAAAAAACAGTCTTTTCTACACGCTCTTATTTCATAACCGCAAATTTGACCCTGACATACAGCTTGCATACTAATTTCAAAACAGTCTGTACACAAAATATGTATATTCTAAATTGGCTTCAATTATAACCAATTTTGCTTGAACTTTCATAGATCATACGAGTCACACCCTATTGTATATTAAAGGCAAAGATTATATTTTACTTTCTTTCTCCTAAAATTACTATGCTAAGCTACAATTCTTAAGGTAAGTGAGGCAGAAGGCAAGAAGACAAAGGCATTTTTAGAAATGTGTGCCAGATAAAAAGACCGGCTTGTTCTTTGACAACCTTCTCACCCCTTCAGCAACTTACCGGGATTTTCCTGAGGTCTTCATTGCTTGTTGGACTCATATGAAAACTAATAAAACACAAACAAATGTTAAAAGTGTCATAACTCACGTGAGAGGAAACACAAAAATAGAAAAATTTTAACCTAGATTGTAATACAAATTTCTAAAGCCCTACATTATTCAGATGAGTGAAATTTAATCCAAGAAGTAGAAAAAAATCCAGTATTTCCCCAACATTCTTAAAGCATCATTACAATTTTAAACTTTGAAGGAAAACTTTTTAGTTATCAGAACTGAAGAACGAAATATGAAGTTTTTAAACATCTTTAAACACAGCACTTTTATCCAGCAAGATATTTTGTAAAACTAATCTGTGTAACAGATTTCCATTATATTTACACACAGTCACTCACCTTAGGCCCTCTGATATAAAACTAGGGAGAATTAAGTAAATGTAGGTTGGAAAGATTATAGAATAAAAGAGTGAAAGCAATCTGTTTAAAAATGCCAAAAGTGTTAGAAAACTCAGCTTTCAAACATAACCCTATCAATAAGAAAAAATTCAGAATTGTGGGAAATATTTATCTCTTTAATGCAATTTCTAAGTAGCTAGTCTTGAAAATTTAAATACTGAAATGAATCAAAACAACACAGATTTCTTCCACACAAAGAAGAAAACATCACAGCTGAATGCTATAACTATTTTCTTCTTTGAAACATGTCCATTAGATGGGACTGCCACCAAAAAGACGCTAAACTTCAAAGCCATCTGATGAGTAAATATTTCATCGGTGCTATTCAAGTTTAATTTTTACCCAGCACTTAAAGGTATTAGCCTTTAAAACCTTCACAAAGCATTAGTGTCCTAGGAACCTTTTTATTCCACACACAAAACAACAACTGTAAAATATGTATGTTTTCATTATCTGTCCCTTGACAGTAAAATAACTGGGATCCTTTGAAGATTTAAGAAATTTACTTTTAAAACTTTTGATTGTGTGACAAAAAGTCTGGACACTGGATATAATGTTGGTAAAGTATCTGTAATTATGTGTACAAATCCTATGCTCTAAGATGCACAGGGCACATATGCATGTACAACCACCTCCAGAGAGTTTCCCATGTAACCAAGATTTCATTGGCTGTGACTAAGATTTGAAGTACTAGCTTCCAGAAGCGATTGCTCGCCTTTTCTAACTAGAACTCCTGTGGATAGATTTAGTATTTCAGCAGAGCTGGGTTGCATGTAGAGAGAGTGAAACATGTTTTAAAAACCTACAATGCACCAGTTAAAGGCCTGTGTGGCTGGCACATTTTCTCAACATCTTTATGGTGTTCTGCATGGTCCTGGACTCAAGTCACTATACCAGCAAAGCATCAAGAGCCCACAAAGAAGTGGCTTAAAAGACAAAAACCAAATCCAAAAAAGCATTCTCATGTAGTCCACCTTAGACTAGAGTGCCATGGTAGCAGCTGCTAACACATGTGGTTTCCATCTTCTCTGATTTTCAATCCAAGGTAGCCAACAGGGGGTCCAGTGGGATTAATCTCTCCTACCCCATTATCTCACAGCATGTTTTCTAATATGTCAAGAAACACATTCTGCTACATCTCCCATCTGACTGGGATATTCTAAAAAACAAAATGATTTACACTCAGGCCCGACAGCACACAAGGTGCTTGCAAGCAGAGAAGTGGCTGGAGCCAGGTGGTGGGAATTCAAATCCTGTTTCTGCCCTGTGACCTTGAGCAAGTTACTTAACTTTGATTGTGTCTTGGTTCCCTCATCTGTAAAATGGAGATGGCAACAGTATCTACCACATAAGACTTCTGTGAAGATTCAATGAGTTAATCTTCATTGGAAAACACTTAGCACTGTGACTACCAGATAGAACATTATTTTATTTCATAAATAAAATAATGAAATAAAATAATTATTTCATAAACATTTACACAGCACTTAATGTGTGCCAGACACTGTTCTAAGCACTTTACCAAAATTAACTCATTTAATCTTTATGATCCTTACGGTAGTCTTATGGTCCAGTATCTACCACATCTTCATTTTAAAGGTAAGGAAACAAGTCACAGAGAGGTTAGGGAACTTGCGTGTGGTCATTCTATCAGCAGCTGGTGGAGCTGTCTGGGCTCTAGACTCCGTCCTCCCACGACACACAGCCCTAGCCCCATTCCCTGTATATAGATTTACTTAGTGAGCACTGGCTGCACTGCAGAAGCCCTGAACATATAGGCCACATAGATGAATCAGAGAACAACAATGTTGCATTTTGAGAAGGCACATGGTAGAGATGTACTTGTGGGAGGTGGGGGAGAGCACTCTGGATAATTAAATTTTTAGACCTCATAGAGAAATGAAATGTTCTATCACAGCAATTAGTCAAGGAATGCCTAATTCATGGAAAAAGCAGGATTTAAAATGACATGAAGGATATGTTTGGCAGGCTAGACAAGGAGGGCTCTGCAAACATATGGCGTGGCCTGGGGCTGCCAGACAGTAGCGTCGCTGCAGGACACGGAGTAGACTGGCAGCGAGGCAGCAGGGTCAGCAGGAGCCCATAAAGGTTCTGATGACGTGTTCCTCAGGCCCAATCTGTAGAGCAGGAGGTAATCTTTGGACAATGTTAATCTTTTCTTGTAAATATTTTAACATTTTATATTTGGTGGCATAATCCATCCCACTGCATCCTTGAGATTGAACAGTATTATGACTATATAAATTTCAGTATATGTCTCAGGAAGAAATCAGTGAACCAAGAAACAGAAATGCCGGTATTATATTTATTGCAATAAGGGTTTTCAAGGAACAACATTTAGGACAAAGATTTTATGAAAATCACAAAACTAATGATATGTAGTAGCCAACCAGAGTTTATAAAACTAAAATGTAACTCAATGGCTGCTCAAAAATGCCTGAGAATTCCTAAGAATGTTGAAAAAGTCACAACTCTAAGGGGAAGGGTTTGCAGTGCGGCAAGCCCGGCTACTTCTCATTCTACCTGAGTGATCTGAGCCACTCTCTCCAGCTCCCTACAGTGCAGATCTGAGTGAGAGGCTCTTGTACCGGGTATTGTCTGAAGTCTAAAGGCAGAACCCCTCCCTTGTGGTCTGCTTTATATCACACACTGACATGTCAAACACTTGACGAACACAGTCATTCATGGCTGCCTTTTTTGATCTGTCCTTAAGGGGGAAGAAAGAGTTAACTGAACTGGATTGAATTAGCTTGGTGAAAAATAAAATGTCTCTATTTATCGAAGTGTGGCACCAATTTGTGATATCTTTCTCTTTGGACTGCCGTCCTCATGTCAGACAAGATATCGAATAATTCAGTCTGACTGCTCAGCCGAGCTGCTGACAGGTTAAGGAAAATGGTGTTTTTAATCAGGTGCAAAACAAACCTAGACACATTCACATTTAAAAAGGAGTCTTTGTAAAATGAAACTACAGAATTTAAACATTTTAAATTAGTATTTTAAAAGTTATTTTAAATAAAATGATTTACCTTAACATTCTGAAGTTTTTACGCAAAAGCATCAATAGTTTTACTTTGTGATATTTCCAAATATTAAATAATTTTCCCTAGTAAACTCTAATTCTAAAATTTGAAATATTTTCAAATATTTCTAGGAATCACTAGTATCTCTTCTACAATATCACTTGTTAATTTACGTCAAAGTTAAAATAATTAAGTAAAGAGATAAGAAGTAAATCAGTGAGGACTTGAAACTGTCCTTTAATTTGTGCTATGGACTAATCTTCTATATATCAGCCAGAAAATAACCCAATCATTACAGTAAAAAACCTGATCACCGCAGTAATCACTATGGCATTTGGCAGTGATCAAAGTGGGTTTTTTTGGTTGGTTTGTTTCTCTTTCTTAAACATATATCTTCTTTTGAAGAATACCTAAGGAGGAGAAACTATTCAGAGTAAAAAGTGTACAGTGCTTGCAAAGATTAAAAAAAAAAAAAACCTACATAAGAACAAAGATCTATTAAAACTGGTTAACAGTGCTTTTACAAGACAATGCAAACTGTAAATTCCTCGTTCTAGGATTTTAAATCTTTCAATGAGAAGTCACATAAAAACAAGCCTTTGATGGGCATTTAAAAGTAAGTATTTTTAGAGTATTTTAGAGTACTATTACACCTTCCACAATAGCTCTTTCCAAACCCCGTTACTGCTGGAATTATAAAGCAAAGTCCATTTTGGTCTACACATTGACTCATTTTGTATTTAAGAAGTGAATTCAAATTAAATGTGAAATCCAGGAGGTGTGCCACCTGGCTGGGAGGAGGGAAGAGGAGGAAGAGGGAAGGGGCAGGACAGGAGTAACTTTCTCAAACGCCAGTCAACTCCTTATTGTGTATGGGAAATAAGTATAACTTCAAACTATCACAGAAGAAGTGACATTAATTATTTTTAAAGGAGTGTGTCCTACTATCTTGTTTAACCGAGTGGGCTCTACAGACTTGGGGCTTCACTTTCATGACAAAGGTATATCCTGAGAACTGTGACAAATGTAACAAAAATCTTCAGTGAGTCTAAAAGGAGGAAAAGAGAAACACCCCGTGTATTTCATCAATAACAAAGCATAGAATAACATCCTAAAAGCAACTGTATTTATTAGACTTTAACTATAGTACCTTTCTGGGCACTTTGCATGTTAACTCACTTAATCCTTGTAACAATCCTATGATGCGAGTGCTCTATTTATCTTCATTTACCGATGAGGAAATGGGCACAGAGATGGTAAGGCGCTTATCCAAGGTAACATAGTTAGTAAGTGGCCGAGTTAGGACACAAGAAAGGCAGCCCCACCCCACAGTCCAAGCTCTCTAGGCATAAGCTCTACTTCTTCCACAGAGCTGCTCTAAACTGTCAGTTCTACTGTGAGCTCACTGCTGGCTGGTTTCGAGGAGCCCCGTACAATTTCATGAGGCTTCTTCCAATCAGAAATAATGATTCAGAAAAGTCTTAGATTTAGTCTAAAAGAGACAGAATAATGGCTGAAATGCAACAGGTTTGGAAATAACTGTGCTCCTGATTTTTTGTTTGCCCCTCCTGCTCCACTCTGCCCCTCCCTGCACGCCAGGACACTGACCTCTGGAGAGTGTATCACCTGGGCTTGCCCACTGGCTTATTAGGTTCTGCCACTGGGAGGCACCTCCAAGAGGTTGGAGCACTGAAAGCATAGGAGGCAGGGTATTTACTCCCCTTCCCCCAGCCCCATCCCACCACTGCCCCCCTCCCTCCCTGCTGGGCTGCAATAGCATCTCTACCTACAGCCACAGCTGCAGCTAAGCATGTAGTGCTGGTCCCTGGTGCTGTACCATTCCTTCTTGATGTCCTTAACCCTGCCGACACCTTCTCCACTGAACTTTCCTCAGATATTTGTTTTGAGTGTGTCATTTGTTTCCTATTAGGATTCTTAACTGATACATGAATACAAAATAAATGCCATAAACCATTCACTTAATAATTTAAAATAATTAAGGACAAAGGTTTGTTCTACTTCTCTCTTAGAAAAGAAAGAACCAAAGAAAAATAATTACTCATATGAATTACCTATACTTCCCTGTTCCCTTCAATTTCTGACTTATGCTCCACAACTACTTATTTTAACATTTTTTTCTTTTCAAAATATGCATAGCCTCTTCTTACTTTGTAAATAATTCACTGCTAGCCTCCCCTCCCCGCCCCCTCCAACACACACAAACTCCTAGCCTTCATTTAACAATATGCTTTTCATATTCACAGAGCTAGAGTACTTGTGTTCAAAATTATTTTCCATTTAGGATTGCATTTTTAAAGATTCATTGCTCCTGCAGTATGTAAAATGGTATAATTACTTCAAGTGACTTGGATTTGAATAATACCACCTCATATTTACATATTGTCTTACAATTTATAACACATTTTCACAAACTGAATTTCTCCAAACATTTCCAAAGGAACAGTAATCAATAAAATCTTATACCATAAAATCTCATACAATCAGAATCCCATCTGATCAGTTTCACCTCTGACACCCCCTCTCTCCTAGAGACCTGCTGGTGTATTCCCACTATCATCCCAGTTGTCTCCTAATCCACCTGTATTTACTCACCTCTCTCACCAGGACTCGCTGACAGTCCATTATCTCTTGGACATTCTACCATTTTTATTTTGCCAATCTCTAAACCCTACCAAGTAGCCCTTGCTGACTTTGTTACCTTGACTCATTCATATTCTTTAATCTGAAACAACTCACACCACCAATACTCACTGCTTCTTTGACGAAGGCCACCAACAAACCATTTTCACTAAAATCACCTCACTCTTTAACCTCTCAACTCCATGTGATACCAAATGGCTGCTCCTTCTTTTTGAGACTCACTCTTCTTGCTATCTGGTAGCCTAACTTTTCTTCTATATTTCCAATCACTCCTTTTCTTTGTTATCTTCCTCTTCATCTTTAGGTGGGGAAAACTGGATATTTCCTAAGGTTGTTTTCAGGCCTTTTCTACTCCACCTTGGTGATTTCATATTCTCTCACCACTAACTACCATCCCTATATGGATAGAGGACTAGTAAATCTTTTCACCCACCAATCTCTTTACCCTTTATAATATCATGTTTACAAATGTCTGATCAAAATCTTGGATTGAATATCCTACCTGTCCCTGAAAGGCCAATCACCATATCTTTTAGAACAGTTCTGTCTGGTTCTCTTCCGTCTCATACCACCAATCTCCTGGGCACCCAAGGTGAAGCCTCAGAGACACCCTTCACTCCAGTCTTCGGCTTACATGCCTCACAAATAAACTGCCATGTTCTCACCATTCAGCCTCTGCCACAGAACTCTCATCGTTTACTCCCTGCTCATTTTTATTGCTACCTTTCTGACCATAAGACCAAATTGCCTCCTGTTGAGACTACTGCAACAGCCTCTTCAGTCTCTGCCCATTCCTCCTTGTCCAATCCAGCCTATTCATACTGACGATGGCGTTCTCAAGCTCAAGTCTAACGTCATTATTCATCTGTCACAAAACTTTTGACCTTCAAGCTCTTCCTGAATAATGACAAAATTTCTCAGTCTGGCTTTCAAAGCTCATTGGATTTTATCCAATTTACCTTTCCAGACTTATTGCCCACCCCCTAATGCCGAGGAACAATCTACTTCACTGTGAAACAGAAATGCTACCATCTATTTCACAGAATTAAAAGAGGGTTAAAAGAAATGAGTATGAAAATGTTTTGTCTGACAAAGTGCTTTTCAAATACATGGTACAAAAGTTTGCTTCTGTGTATCTATCTTACCCCTGGATCCCCTCCCTTTCTACTGCAAGCCACTTAAAGGAAGGAACCATATCTCATTCCTCTTTTCATTCCTAGCATCTGACACAGCGCCAGCATGAAAGATTCCTAACAAAAGTATGCTGAATACATTAACAACCAGTACTTAACAAAAATGTGTAAAAACTGGGGTGAGTTGACTGAGTAAATCAATGGTAGGGCAATATAAGTTCCACCAACAAGATCCCAAGTCCCCAAAGAGTGGAAGAAATAATGTTCCTGAATAAGAAAGATTATTTATATCTATACCTGATGATACATTAGTG